ATACATAGAAGGATTTTTTTATACATATACAAAAGAACATTAAAAAAAATTAGTCATTCAGAATGCAACAACATAAAGACTATAGTTACATTTTTACGTCTTCCATTTATTGTATGTTTCCCCTATAATTCAATTCAATTCAATTGTAATGCAGAGTAGTTAGTTCCCTTCTTTTGATTAATTCCGAACTTTTTTTGTATTTAAATCTCCAAAAAAAGAATAATAAAATCAAAAAATAAAAAAAAAAAACTCGAAAATGATTCACCAACCAAAGAGTTGATAATTGCAATGACACCCCTGAATAGTCACTTATTTAAATTCTGGGGACGAAGCTTTTCCGGGGTTACTTAAAATGATTGTTATCACTGACCGGTCGTGTCGAACTACTCTTTCTGTAGACCGGTCTCCAACAGGTAATTATTATTAAAAATTGTCTTCTTAGGAAATTATTGTGCGAGCTCCATTCCTTCAGAACTTCAGTCGAACCTCCCTTTCTCTTTCACTCATTCCCTTATTCACTCCGTCTTCTCTCCTTATTCTACCGCAGGTTCATTACAACAACTATGTTCTATCACGAACGCCATCGAAGACACTCACCTTTTTCTTTTCGGTTGACGTCATTCCCGAAATTGTTTAAAAACATTACAATTTTATTCTTGATATTAGTCTTTATTTACATATCTATACCGCTGCTGAGAGACCTCTCCATTAATTTCTCACGGTCACCTAAAATAGAGCGTAACAATAATGATACACACATAGCATTTGTAGTCGATGGAGAGACACACACAGATCATTTGCAATATATTTATTGTCAACTATCAAAGTTGGAAAAAGCCTTTGTACATATAATAACAACTGGCAAAAAACGCGGTCTGAGTGGGAAGAAATTGTCAAAGGAGAACGCACAAGAATCGAATTGCAATGTATTGATACATGATTTGGAAACTTTGGCCATAAGTTCAGGGAGAGATGGCATTATGACAAAAGTTTCCCTTGGAATGGTTCAAATTCTAGATCAAATTCAACCTGATATCTTGATATACGTTCGGGAGCTTGAGATTGATGCAATTCGCGGGATCAAAGCTGCCTTGG